CAACACTGACCAGGAGGCATCAAAAAAGGGGGAAAAACAAGCCAGTGAAGAGTTTTGAATGAATTCTTGTTTTTATTATAAATGTCACAGTGAAAGTACATGGATACCTGCCCTGTCTTTCAACTGTAGATTCATTTCTTCTGCAAAAAAAACAAGTTCTGGTAGTTGGTGTGTGGTTTATTTATTTATTTCACCTCTAATCCAATACCAATGAAAATTAAAACCCAGGCAAAATAGAAACATGGTCTGAATAGAAGCAGCCTAATTTGTCCTTGGTGTTGGGTGGGAAGATAAAAGGAATTCCTTCCCTGTATTGCCAAGGCAACAACACTTCTCACGTATTTCCCTCCTCGTGAGTTGAAGCACTCCAGGATTGTATGTCTTGGATGCTGTGGAACATGTGTCTGATTGCTGTGTTCAATTCTCACAACCAAGGTCTTGCGTAGAGCAGGAGCACATAAGGTGAATGTCTGTCTCCCCAGCCCCCCAAAAGCTGTTTCTTGTTCTGCGGCATAAATTATAGGACTGTGTGTGAGAAACAAAAGACCTTTGACTTTTATGTCCAGATAAGACAGTCCTAGGCTGCATAAACAGAAGGATGGAATCAAGATCACGTGACATGTTAATACCACTTTATAAGGCCTTGGTAAGGCCACACTTGGAATACTACATCCAGTTTTGGTCGCCACGGTGTAAAAACGATGTTGAGACTCTAGAAAGAGTGCAGAGAAGAGCAACGAAGATGATTAGGGGACTGGAGGCTAAAACATATAAAGAACGGTTGCTGGAACTGGGTATGTCTAGTTTGATGAAGAGATGGACTAGGGGGTGACATGATTAACAGATTAATAGAGTTGGAAGGGACCGTGTAGATCATCTAGTCCAACCCCACGCCCAAGCAGGAGACCCTACACCATTTCTGAACAGATGGCAGTCCAGTCTCTTCTTGAAAGCCTCAAATGATGAAGCTCCCACAACTTCCGAAGGCTTCTGTTCCATTGGTTGATTGTTCTCACTGTCAGAAAGTTTCTCCTTATTTCTAGGTTGAATCTCTCCTTGTTCAGTTTCCATCCTTTATTCCTTGTCTGACCTTCAGGTGTTTTAGAAAATAGGTTGACCCTCTTCTCTCTGTGGCAACCCCTCAAATATTGGAACACTGCTGTCATGTCTCCCCTGGTCTTTTTTTCATTAGACTAGACATACCCAGTTCCTGCAACCGTTCTTCATATGTTTTAGTCTCCAGTCCCCTAATCATCTTGGTTGCTCTTCTCCGCACTTTTTCTAGAGTGTTCCAATCTCTCAGGGGCTGCCCCAAAGAAGAGGGAGTCAAGTTATTCTCCAAAGCACCAGGGGGTAGGACAAGAAGCAATGGATGGAAACTAATCAAGGAGAAAAGCAACCTAGAACTAAGGAGAAATTTCCTTACAGTTAGAACAATTAATCAGTGGAACAACTTGCCTCCAGAAGTTTTGAATGCTCCAACACTGGAAGTTTTCAAGAAGAGACTGGACAACAATTTTTCTGAAATGGTATAGGCTTTCCTGCCTAAGCAGGGGGTTGGACTAGAAGACCTCCAAGGTCCCTTCCAACTCTGTTATTCTATTCTAAATTTCCAGAGGGCTTGCTGGGTGAATGTTCAGCCCCAAAGGAGCCAAGAGTCTTGAGTCATCTTAAAGAATAACACAAGTGTGATGCTGCATTTGTAAAAAAATGGCAGGAGATACTTGGTGCCCTCAACTTGGACAAGAGACCTTCAGTTCTGCTTTCATGCCATAGTGGCAATGCTATGTTTTGCACTTTCAAAGCCCATGGTTGTTTTTTCCAGTCGGGAGATATTCCAAACCTTCCCCATATGTCTCTAAAGTAGAGCCACGACAGCATTTGGGCTCAGCACCGGGTTGAGTCACAAAGCAGAACATTTGCAGAAAGCTCCAGCATGATGACAATGTCACCGAGCCCAGATTTATACATGTACATTCCTCTCTTGGCCCATTCCCCTTCATCCCGTGACATTTTACATCTCGAAATAGGTCATAATGTACCCCAGGTTAAATTTCTCTGTCATTTCTCATGCCGCGAGGGTTTTTCTGCAGAGTTAATTCATGCATTCACACACAAGTCACCTCTGCCAAATCTACATTGAGCAATCACAAAACGGAGTACTTATCAACTCGCTAGCAGTAACTGTGCTACTGTAAGAGCTTCTTGCAACTTTTATTAGTTCCAGCAATGAAAGTGGAGAAAATACATTGCTAGCTGCTTTCAAGGAGAGTCATGAGGTAGAATTTAAGCCATTAGTGTTACAGTACCTGCCCGAGTTAAGTACTACTTTGGAATGCTTCCTTAGGCTATTCCATAACTCCCTATTTAAGAGTCAACTGGAATCCTTTCCACATGGATAAGTTTGCTAAGAAGAAAAAAAACGATTACAAGAAATTGTAATAATTCTTCCCTTTCTCCCTTTAATCCAGAGTGATTGCTGGGAATGTTTAAATACTTCCAGAAACATTTCACACTGCACTGGGCCGAATGCAAGAGACGGAGGTCACGTCTGGTGTCAAAAGATGGAAGGTGTAACATAGAATTTGGGAATGTTGAAGAACAGTCAAGATTTGTTTGCTTGATCGACATCTGGACCACCATCCTGGACCTCAGGTGGAGGTATAAGATGACCATTTTTATTTCAGCTTTCTTGGGCAGCTGGTTCCTTTTTGGTCTTCTTTGGTATGCAGTGGCCTATATCCATCAAGATCTGCCAGAGTTCAGCCCTTCTATAAATCACACACCATGTGTAGACAACATCAATGGCTTGACCTCAGCTTTCCTCTTCTCCCTGGAGACCCAGGTCACTATTGGCTACGGGTTCAGGTGTGTTACGGAACAGTGTGCCACGGCCATTTTCCTTCTCATCTTTCAATCTATCCTAGGAGTTATCATCAACTCCTTCATGTGTGGGGCCATTTTGGCCAAAATCTCCAGACCCAAAAAGAGAGCGAAAACGATCACTTTCAGCAAAAACGCTGTGATTAGTAAACGAGGCGGGAAACTCTGTCTTCTCATCCGAGTGGCCAACCTCAGGAAAAGCCTGCTGATTGGAAGTCATATCTATGGCAAACTCTTGAAAACCACCATCACACCTGAAGGGGAGACCATCATCTTGGACCAAGTCAACATCCATTTCATGGTGGATGCGGGCAACGAGAACCTCTTCTTCATCTCCCCCTTGACGATATACCACGTCATCGATAAGCACAGTCCCTTCTTTCACATGTCAGCGGACACCCTCCTTCAACACGACTTTGAGCTGGTGGTGTTTCTGGATGGGACCGTAGAGTCCACCAGTGCAACCTGTCAAGTACGGACATCTTACATCGCTGAAGAAGTCCTCTGGGGTTACCGCTTTGCCCCCATCGTTTCGAAGACCAAAGAAGGGAAATACAGGGTGGACTTTCACAACTTCAGCAAAGTTGTAGAAGTGGAAACTCCACATTGTGCCTTTTGCCTCTACAACGAGAAGGACATGAAAGCCAAGGCCAAGATGGGATTCGACAACCCAGCTTTTGTGTCCCAGGAAGTTAGTGAATCCAGTGAGACAAAGATGTGACTTCATTGTCCTGTGGGAGTCAAGTGTGCATGCTTACTTTTTGATATGCACGGGATGTGCCAAGTATGCCGAATTATTTTCTGTTGTGGAAAAAATATGAACTCGTTTGTTTTGTTGATCATAGCAATCGTGATAACCAACCAGAAAAGACTACGAAGTAGTAATACCCCAAATATCATATAATGTGTTGATAGGTCGAAAGGCTTAGACTGTAATATTGGGTACCAAGAAAAAGATTCTATGTCTTGAGCGATGGGGAGAAAGTGGAAAAATGTATTGTGGGCTGGATCATAAGTGGATTTAAAATTAAATAATGATCATGACAGCACGACTGCGTAAATGTAAATGTTTTCTTATGCAGGGAACTATATTCGGGATGCAGTCACAGTGGGATCTTAGCCAGTTTTGAGTAATTTTTTAAAAATGGAAAGCAGACTTAGACTTGGTTAGTCCTTGGCTGTGAAATGACCAGAAAAGCTCTGGATTAGATTAGGAAGTTTAAAAAAAAAAAAAACCAAAGAGGAAGGCAACAGCAAATTAATAAAACTATATGGCTTTCTCCTTGAAATCACCAAGAGAGATTCAAGTAAGATTCTATTTTATGATACAAACATATAGAATTTCAATTGCCCATGTTAAATAGGACGAAGACAAGGTTATGGGAAAGGGGAAACTAGGATTAAAATATGGTTTACTTGTATTTCTGGTAAAATGAGCTTAAAGGTTTTGGGTCCCTTTCAGTGAGACAAGTGACTCAACAATGAGGATTGTAAGACTGTTTGGCTCTGGTTCTCCTCCTCC